AAACAGTAGCCAGCATGCTGAGCATGGCTATAGGTGACCCTCTACTATCCTCATTTCAGAGTTGGGAGCAAATCCATTCCTGCCCTGTCTCCAGGGTCTTTAAGGGAATTAGACCATTATTATCTGTTACTTCTTTTCTTTAGCATTTCAGGATCTCCCTCAGACTTCCTGCATCCTGGAGGGAAGGGAGATGGTTTCTTTCTATTCCCTCCACCTCTCAGCCCTTCCTGGGGTCCAAGTCTCCCCCTACAAAGTGTGACTAGTTCAGTATTGTACACTGTGTCAGACAGGAAGAACAGGGCCCCTTGGGTGGGATCTGGGAGGAGCTGTTCTGTTTCCTCAGCAACCCCTGCCCATTCTCACGTACCACACTCAATAATAGGGATTGCTCCTCTTTACCAGCCAGGCATTAATCTGCCTCAATTCTGCCATGCCTCTTCAATATGTGCTTCCTATGGCAACGATGCATGGCAATCCCCAAATCTCTGTAAAAGTCAATGCCTAATGTTGGGGGATTTAGTGAGTTCTTACTGAGGCAAAATTCCACTGCTTAGTGGGCTACTGAGGTGAGTCACAATGCAGACTTAGGATTCAAAGACAATTGAATTTTGATCCCTGTCCTAAGCCCTATCCCCACACCTAATGTAAATAGTTTTATAGCACAGATTGTCACCACTCAGCTCTAGAAACTTTTCCCATAGCTGAGTACAATTGGAAATGCCATGCATGCTGCAACCATGCTGGCTCCCGTCTCTCCTCCTTGGCATATCAGTAAGATATCCGTTTGGTAAAAGTGATACCCTAATGTAAATATACACCATTTATGTGCACAAAATCCTGTTTCTCTCTTGTATTAGCAACAAGCAAATATAGCCGCCTGCCACTAATTCACATGAAAAGATGATATTCCTTTAGATCAAGTGGTAAAGGCCTATAGTGATTCGGGGTTCAATATTTTTGGCAGGGCTAGCTAGAATCTATGTACTCCATATGTACATCTGTCTTATATGTGTAAGATTATAAAATTTTCAGATGCCACCAAACTGAAGGGTGTTGCTAGCACTTGGGAGGACAGGATTAGAATTCCAAACAAATGTGACAAAATTGGAGAATTGGTGTTCACCGTACCAGATGAAATTCAGTGATAAGTGCAAAGTGTTTCACTTTGGAAGGAAAAATCAAATGAACAGCAATAACAAAACAGGGAACAACTGACCAGGCAGAGTCCTGAAGTAACTGGGAGTCATAGTCGATCAAAAATTGAATATGAGCCAACAATGTGATGCAGTTGAGGAAAAGGCTCATATAATTTGGGGGTGTATTAACAGGAGTGTTGTATGGCTGCTGTACTCAGCACTGGTAAGGATTCAGCTGCAGTACTGTGTTCAGTTCTGAGTGCCACATGTATGTCTTGCTGGAGCCCTTGGTATAACTAACAGTGTGAACCAAAGTCTGTGAACCAGAGAAGGCCTGGCCTTGGCAAATAGCAATGCACCAGGTATTAGCTAACACCAAGTAAGCACATTGCTGACCTGAGAAGATGGTACAGGAACACCCAGAGTTCTCAAGTAACTGTGTAAGCACATTCCTAGGAGATGGTACAGAGACACACTGACCCCTGAAATGATAAAGAAAGAATGACAGGATAATGAATGAGGATGTTTCATTGGAGCTAGCAGTTACAAGGTACAGGATAGTAACAAAGAGTGTACGGTGTGTAATACATAACTTGTTTGTATCTATGTATAAAAGGAGAAGTCACAGGAAGAGCCTTTTTGTGCCAGCCTAAGGGACAGGATCCTGGCATCTTTATTGAGCCAGTACCAGTGTTGTGAGCATATGTGTGGAAGTGTACATGTAACCATTGAGCCAGGGAACTAGGACCGTGCCTGGTTGAAAATAAACCTGGTTGAAAATAAACCTGTTTGAGTAACTTCACCAATGAACTGAGCCTGTGGTCTTTCTTTATGAACAACATCAAGGTCTGATAAGCTGCATTCCCTGTTAGTGTAGCTGACCTCAGAGCTCCAGACACAGCAGCACTCAGCAGCTTTAGCATTGCAGCAGCAACACCCCACTTTAAGAAGGATGTGGACCAATTCAGCAGGCTGTAGCCTGGAAGGATCAGGGAATGGTAGATTGTTAGTTTCCACTCCCAGTGACCTGGTCAGCAGCAAATTACTGCTGCCATGGAGAAAGGGGGAGCATTCTTCCTGAGTCATAAAGCCTTCCTTTGGCTGCTCCTGGGGCTCTGTGGCAGAGACCCACTACCTCTCGGATGAAGCACAGGAGCATGTAACATGTAGCCATGGAACTGTTAATAACACTGATGGAGGCCAAGTCAATGAGAACTCTTGGCACATCCATACGTTTACCTTCTCTCATGGAATCATTTTAGGATATAGACTTGCAGCATGCAAATTGGCAGGAAAGGAAGAGTGAGGATTGGTCGAGTTATCTGTGATGTCATCATGGCCCCATTTAAGAGTGATCTGAGCTGCTGACTTAGCCATGTGCATAATTTATTCCTAATCTAATGATTAGACAACTCTTTTTAACAATTTATCATCATTAAAATCTAATGGTTGCAAACGTAGCCTACAGAAATATTTTTAATCAGTTTTAACATTATGGAAAGTGTGCTTTATTTCAATTGTAAGATCATTCAGGGAAAAGGTAGGAGAGGGGACAAATGCTAAATTAATTAAAGAACACTTTTAAAAATATTTTATTCTCATGAAGTAATTAAGATTTTTTTTGCAAACTCATGCATGCTCAAATTATAATTAATCAAAGTTCAGAGATGATACACAGTATTCTTCAGACATTAGAGTGTGACTGGTGGTGCAGTGTATGTCTCAGAATTTAGCTTGATGTGCTAATCCCCCCCCAATTTTATCACATGACCACAGGTATTCAACACGCAGACTGTGCCCTTAAAAATCTGCTCTTGAATTCAAAATGTCCTTATCCTGATATTCATTAGTTCAACAGGCACACTAAGATAATTTAGGGCTACTCACATGAGTCAGACTTTGCAAGTTCATATCCCAGTGATTGTCCCATTACATATATGTCTGTTATCTTGAAATATCTGTATTCTTGTCAAAGACAAAAAATCTAAGGACAGCTTTCCTCAAGGCATCCTTTACCTCCTTGTTTCTCAGACTGTATATGAGGGGGTTGACCAGTGGGGTCAGGACACCATAGAAGACAGAGAACACTTTGTTTAGGTCCTTTAGTGCATCAGAGCCTGATAGCAAATACACAATGACTAGAGTCCCATAGAAAATTGTCACCACAATGAGGTGGGAGGAGCAAGTGGAAAAGGCTTTTTGCCTCCCGGTGGTGGAAGGGATTCTCAGGATGGTGGAGATGATACAAACATAGGATGCCAGCGTTAATAGAAATGGAGGCAATGTGAATATGGAGGAATGTATGAAAGCAGTAACTTCCAATGTGTGGGTATTGCTGCATGACAGGTTTATTATTGGGGTTAAATCACAAAAGAAATGGTCAACTTCATTGGGGCCACAGAATGTTAATTGGGACATCATAAATATTAAGATGGCAATAGATATAAATCCTCCTGTCCAAGACCCAACCACTAGCTTGATGCAGAATTTGCTGTTCATAAGGGCTGCATAATGCAGGGGTTTGCATATCGCTAAATATCGATCATAAGACATCATAGATAAGAGAGAACATTCAGTGGTTGCCAGAGAACCAAAGAAATAAAATTGTGTGATGCAGCCTCTAACAGAGACGGTTCTGTCCCCAGTCAGGAGACTTGCCAGCATCCTGGGAAGGATGGTGGAGGTGTAGCAGGTCTCCAAGCAGGCCAAGTTCCCCAGGAAAAAGTACATGGGGGTGTGAAGGTTCTGTTCAGCCACAACTAGCGCAATGATGAGGATGTTCCCAACCATGGTCACAATGTAGATCGCTAGAAACAGCAGGAAGAGAAGGATCTGTAGCTGAGTGAGTGTCCCGAATCCTAGGAGGATGAATTCTGTGATGAGCGTTCCATTTCCCTGTTGTTTGTTTGCAGTAGTTTTCATCTGGGGGAAATAAAAACAAATACTGCAATTTATAGTCTAACATTCAAAGGAGTCAACATTTTAACTCCAATGTCCCCCTGTTGGTTGCCATCCCAATGACTAGGTCAAGGTGCCAGATGGTAGAGGCATTCTTGGTAGAGGCACTCTTCCCTCCACTGTGAAATAGTTGATGATATTACCATCTACCATTTTCTTAATGTAAGTTGAGATTTATGAAATGAGCTCTCTACATAAGCTCAGTTGCTCTTGTGTAAAATGGAGATAAAGATACTTAGAACGTTCTTTCATATCTATGATAATGATTGCTTTATCACTGCTAAGCATTATCATACTTCTATGAGACCACACATAACTTTGAATATACTCTAGGAAGAGATACTAAACATGCCTGACAGTCACATCAAACTTTTATATTTGCTCCTCAATTTCTGCAGATCTGGCATAAATTGTGTGTTTGATAACACACATTATTTTCAGAGATGTCCTAATTTTTCCAATGTGCATGGAAACTTTTTAAAGACACCATAATAGAGGCTTAAATTTAATGTGTACCTCAAATTTAAAAACATAGTAAGAGGACCAAAAAAGTGCCACCGTGGCTAAACAACAAAGTAAAAGAATCAGTCAGAGGCAAAAGGGACTCCTTGAAAAAGTAGAAGTTAAATCCTCTAGAGGAAAATATAAAGGAGCATCAACTCTGGCAAGTGAAGTGTAAAAATGTAATTAGGAAGGCCATAAAAGCATTTGAAGATCAGCTAGCCAAAGACTCAAAAAGTAACCTATTTTTTCAGTACATCAGAAGCAGGAAGCCTGCTAAACAACCAATAGGGCCACTGGACAATAGAGATGCTAAAGGAGCACTCAAGGGGGATAAGACCATTGTGGAAAAAAACTAAATGAATTCTTTACATCAGTCTTCATGGCTGAGGAGGTGAGGGAGATTCCCTAAACTGAGCCCTTCTTTTTAGGTGACAAATCTGAGGAACTTTCCCAGATTTAGATGTTATTAGAGGAGGTTTTGGAACAAATTGATAAACTAAACAGTAATAAATCACCAGGACCAGATGGTATTCACCCAAGAGTTCTGAAGGAACTCAGATCTGAAATTGCAGAACTACTAAATGTGGTATGTAACCTATCATTTAAATCAGGTTTTGTACCAAATGACTGGAGGATAGCTTAATGTGACACCAATTTTTTAAAAAGTCTCCAGAGGCAATCCTTAGATTTTCAGAAAGTCTTTGACAAGGTCCCTCACCAAAGGCTCTTAAGCAAAGTTAGCTTATCATGGGACAAGAGGTAAGGTCCTCTCATGGATCAGTAACTGGTTGAAAGAAAGGGTTGGAATAAATGGTTAGTTTTCAGAATGGAGAGAGGTAAATAGTAATGTCCCCCAGGGATCTGTACTGTGACCATTACAGTTCAACTTATTCATAAATTATCTTGAAAAAGGAGTAATAAGTGAGGTGGCAAAATTTGCAGATGATACAAAGCTACTCAAGATAGGTAAGTTCAAATCAGACTGAGAAGAGGTACAAAGGGACCTCACAAAACTGGGTGAGGGGGCAACAAAATGGCAGATGAAATTCAATATTGATAAATGTAAAGTAATTCACATTGGAAAACATAATCCCAATTATACAAATAAAATTATGAGGTCAAAATTAGCTATTGCCACTCAAGAAAGCAATCTTGGAGAAATTGTGGATAATATTCTGAAAACATCCACTTAATCTGTCATGAGTCAAAAAAAGCTAACAGAATGTTGGTAATAATTAGGAAAGGGATAGATAATAAGACAGAAACTATCATATTGCCTCTATATAAATACTTGATATAACTGTGACGTTGCACCCCATAAGGCTTTATGGAAATATGCTTATGAATGTATATATGACATAACTGGAATATGTTTTATGCTACGTATGCCATGTAACATATCGCTGTAAAGGTTATGATCTACTGAATCTATTCCACCTATTTCTATGCATGTATAATTTTTGTATTCGAAGTTATGAATATTGGCTGTGTACTTCCCTGATCTTACGTTGCCTTAGTAAAGCATTTGGTCAGCTTCTTGAGAAAGGAATGTGCAAATTATGTGCCCAATCAAGAAACACTTAATGAACAATGGATCTTGGAAGACTCCAATCCACATAAGAATTCTACTTGAGGATGTTCAAAGTAGCATGTGAACCATGGCTGCTACCTGTAAGTTCTGAGTCATGCATGGACATGTGACTTGCCCATGTGATGCCAAAACTCCATCTTGTAGCTGGGATTCTACACAGGGGGAGGGAGGGGTGTCCACCCACAAAAGAAAGCCTATTTAAACCCCTGGGAGACCCTTCCATTTTGTGTTCAGCTGGCTCAAGAGATACCCTCTCCACCCCCAAAGGATACCTGGAAGAAACTGGAACAAAGGTCAGTAACTACAGGGGGAGTGACTGATTGCTGGACCCAGACTAGAAGGAGACTCGTTTGTAAAAGGAAGCTTACTGGAACACCTCTGAGGGTGAGGTTTTATCTCTATTCAGTTCTCTTACTGTATTAGGCATAGACTTGTGTGTTCTATTTTATTTTGCTTGGTAATTCACTTTGTTCTGTCTGCTACTACTTGGAACTACTTAAATCCCATGTTTTTTATTTAATAAAATCAATTTTTACTTATTATTTAACCCTGAGTGTGTATTAATACCGGGGGTGGGGGCAAACAGCTGTGCATATTTCTCTATCAGTGTTATAGAGGGTGAACAATTGATGAGTTTACCCTGGATAAGCTTTATATGGGGTAAACAGATTTATTTGGGGTTTGGACCGCATTGGGAGTTGGGCATCTGAGAGTTAAAGACAGGAACACTTCTTAAGCTGCTTTCAGTTAAGCCTGCAGTTTGTTGGATGTGGTTCAGACCTAGATCAGACCTAGATCGGCAAGCATGTCTGGCATAGCCAGGCAGGACTCTGGACTCCCAAGCTGTCAGATAAAGAAGGGGCAGAAGTAGTTTTGGCACATCATTTGGCATCCCCAAGGGGCTTTCTGTGATACAACCTGTCACAATGACTTCACCTTGAGTACTGCATACAGATCTGGTTTCCTCATCTCAAAAAAAGATATACTGGAATTGGAAAAGATACAGAAAAGGGCAACAAAAATGATTAGGGGTTTGGAACAGCTTCCATATGAGGAGAGATTAATAAGATTAGAACTTTTCAGCTTGGAAAAGAGAGGACCAAAGGGAGGATATGAGCGAGGTCTATAAAATCATTACAGGTGTAGTGAAAGTGAATAGGGAATTGTTCTTTACATCTTCATATAACAAAAGTACTAGGGGGTACTTAATTAATAGGCAGCAGGTTTAAAACAAACAAAAGGAAGTATTTCTTCACACAACACACTGTCAACCTGTGGAATGCTTTTCCAGAGGATATTGTGAAGGCCAAGACTATAACAGGGTCCAAAATACTCATTCATTAGCCCGTTTGTTTATAAGACAACCCCCCAAGATGGTTAGGTAAAAATAGCAAAACCTGTATGACACTTTCATAAACTGACCCTATATTTCAGGGGTTGGAAAACTTTGGCTTCCGGCCCATCAGGGTAAGCTGCTGGCGGGTCGGGACGTTTTGTTTACTTGGAGCGTCTGCAGGCATGGAGCCCCTCAGATCCCAGTGTCTGCGGTTTGCCGTTCCCAGCCAATGGGAACTGCGGGAACGGTGAACCACGGCTACAGGGAGCTGAGGGGTTCCAGGCCTGCAGACGCTCCAGGTAAACAAAATGACAATGTATTAGCTATTCAATTCAATGATTCCATAGAGTTTAAAATCATCAAATTTTGGTGTAGACCTGTTTATTAGCCGACCCCCGCTCTTTGATGCGTCACTTTTTTATCAAAAATATTTGGCTTATGAACAAGTATATATGGTAGATAAATTCATGGAGGATAGGTCCATCAAGGTCTATTAGCCAGGTCGGGCAGGGATGGTGTCCCTAGCCCCAGTTTGCCCAGAAGCTGGGAATGGGTCACAAGGGATGGATCACTTGATCATTACTAGTTTTGTTCATTCCAGCTGAAGCACTTGGCATTGGCCACTTTCAGAAGACTAGTTACTGGGCTAGATGGACCTTTGATCTGACCTAGTATGGCCATTCTTATGTTCTTATATATAAAGATATATCTCTCAAATCTCTCCTAAAGCAAGATCGCAGATGACCCTAAGCTGGGGAGAGAGGTAGATACACTGGAGGGTGGGGATATGGTCCACAGTGATGTACACAAATTGGAGGATTGGGCCAAAAGAAATCTGATGAGGTTCAACAAGGAAAAGTGCAGAGTCCTGCACTTAGGATGGAAGAATCCCATGCACTGCTAAAGGCTGGGGACCGACTGGCTAAGCAGCAGTTCTGCAGAAAAGGACCTGGGGATTACAGTGGATGAGAAACTGGATATGAGTCAGCGGTGTGCCCTTGTTGCCAAGAAGGCTAATGGCATATTGGGCACTGCCAGCAGATTGAGGAAAGCGATTATTCCCCTGTATTCGGCACTAGTGAGGCTACATCTGGAGTATTGTGTCCAGTTTTGCCCCTCCCCTATCCCCCAGAAAGGATGAGGATAAATTGGAGAGCGTCCAGCAGATGGCAACAAAAATGATCAAGGGGGAACATGACTTACGAGGAGAGGCTGAGGGAACTGGGCTTATTTAGTCTGAAGAAGAGAAGAATGAGTGGGGATTTGATAGCAGCCTTGAACTACTTGAAGAGGGTTCCAAAGAGGTTGGAGCTCGGCTGTTCTTAGTGGTGACAGATGACAGAACAAGGAGCAATGGTCTCAAGTTGCAGTCCCGGAGGTCTAGGTTGGATATTAGGAAACACTATTTCACTAGGAGGGTGGTGAAGCACTGGAATGGGTTACCTAGGGAGGTGGTGGAATCTCTATCCTTAGAGATTTTTAAGGCCCTGGCTGGGATGATTTAGTTGGTGTTGGTCCTTCTTTGAGCAGGGG